ATATTTCCCCTGGTCTAAATAAAAAACTGAGTCCTAACTTTAAAGGCCCATAGAAAGTCACTAAAGTTTTCAATAACAATAATATTCAACTACAAATAGGAAAAAAAATTATTACGTATCATACTAATATGATAAAACCTTTTGTTTCAGATCAAAGCAACAATGATTAATAACGCTAATCTACTGTTCCTACTTGTACTAACTTCCATTTCCGTTTGTGTTAGAGGCGATAATTATCACATTACTAATCTCCACGATCATGCCGGTCTTTATTATAATACTCTTGGCCAAGTTAAACTTTCAAATTCTAAATTTGTCCTATTTACTCATCTTAATGTAACTGGATATGAAAAGAAAATAAAATTTATTTCTGGAATATTGAAAAAGTCATTCGATCTATGTTATAGTAATGAAATTGTTAAATCTGAAAATTTTCTATTCAAAGATACTATAAAAGTCGTCCAATCTCGGTTTAATAAATTGCTCGGAAAATCTGAAGTTGTCAGCGAAATAATCGGACACAACAACACAACAGGAAATCGAAAAAGACTAAAAGAGGAATTTTTGATGGTGCTTCTTACGCATTCAATTGGCTATTTGGCATGCCTGATGCCGATGATGCTAAATTTTATGACAAATCGATAAAAACTCTAATTCAAAGTAATAGAAATACACAACTTTGGATGAAACAACAAATTGGCATAATTTCTAGTACGATATCTAATTTTAATTCTAGTATACGAAATTTTAAATCTAATCAAGAAACTCTAAACTCTAATATTAAAATTTTCAACTCCTTCTCAGCAGATACCAATAAACGTATTCACGTAAACAAACTGAAACTTATCATCAGTTCACATATTGCCTTACTCACACAAATATTAGAAGATCTGAACGAAGAATATGATTTATTAATCTCAGCTATAACAATGGCCAGACATAATATCCTACATCCGAAAGTTATAACACCAAAACAATTATTAAATGTACTTTCGGAAATCAAATTGAACAACGGACTTCAATTACCGTTCCCAATATCTTATTCAACTATTTACAAATATTTTGAGATCAGTAAACTAAAAGTTTTTCATTCTGATAACATAATTATTTTTGCAATTGAAATTCCATTGACTGACGAAATGACCTACAATCTGTTCAAATTATTGCCACTTCCAACACCTCATAATTTTTCTGATATTCATTCCTATATCCTACCTGATTTTCCTTACCTGCTGATAAGTATTAGTAAGGTTAGTTATGTGCAAATGAAAGACCTTACCAAGTGTACAAGGATCACAGAAGAGGAATTCATCTGCCAAAACACTCAAGCTACAAGGATTCAAGAACCTCCTAAGTGCGAAGTCGTATTGTTTACATCATTTTCTACCAAAATCCCGGCTGACTGTCATACCGTTACTTCCAAAGCAGACTTCGAGATATGGCATCCACTGAGCGACAACTCTTGGCTTTTCGTACTATCGACGCCCTTACAGCTTACTCTGGCTTGTGATAATTTTCCAATCGAAGATATAAAAATTGCATCAACAGGGCTGTTAAGTTTGGAACCCAAATGCAGGGGCTATACTCAAAATATTATCTTGGAAAGCTCAGGAATCATTACACGGAATATTTCAAAACAAATTTCAGATATCAATATTGCACTTGACGATTGCTGCTATGCCAAAGAAGCCAGATTCAACAACACACCAATCACACTACAACCAATAAGACTTTCCAATATCAAATTGGACGATTTACAGTTTGCGAATCACAAACTTGGACAACTGGACCAATTGCTGGATGAAGAATTGAAGAAGCCATTTATTATTCAACACTCTCATTGGTTCATTATTATTATTTCTTTTATCGCGTCAGTTGTTCTTTTGGTAATAGTGTACAATTTTCTTAAGTGGTGCGGATTAATATCATGCATTAAAAGTATGTTTTGTTGTACTAAAAGTCCAAAGCACATATCGGATTCCTGCTGTATTAAGCTTTTCAATACAAATATAAATACCACTCCAGGAACAAGGCAAAACATATCAAGAATTCTAGAAGAAGAAGCCAGAACAAAAATGGGCGAAGGGATTGAACTAAATAACCTTCTAAGTTCCAATGAAGCAACCACATCCACTACGAATTAAATGTCCATGCGAAGATCAGTCACCCCAAGACCGTCCATAAAAATGTCTTAGTAAAAGATATGTTTGTATATTCTTAGGTATAAGTTAGTTTACATTTTTTTTTCTCTCTTTCCTTTTTATTCCTACCTTTATATTAAGTTAAGCTTCATATTATTTTACGTTAGTTTTTTATAATTGTATTTCTTAAAGGATTTGTTTTGAAGAAATTTCTTTATGAAAATTTCTTTTTTTTTTCAAGGGGGGAAGTGTCATATTCCTCAATAATATCATGACATTGTACTTTTTACGACCCTCGAATACTTTCCCAAATAATGTCTCGCCGTCGCCGAAAGCAATACTATTATATGACCCAGACTTTCTGTTAAAGAACCCAAAGATATTGTATGTAAATAAATTAAACATTTGTCCACCATAAACCCCAAAATTCCCAAATATCCTTAATGGTCATTCTTTGGGCGAACAGACTGTCATTTATTGCCAATATATATTTAGGGTTTTCCAGTTGTAATTATGTAGGTTTTAGAAACGTTTTAGAAGGGATGTAAAGGTCGATTTGTAAGAGATCTAGTGAAGCAAGAAGACAGTCTTAAGACAGCTTCAGTCGTAGTAACACATTTTGTTAAAACTCTCTCTAAAATAAGTCTTACTTTTGATGTAGTTCAATTTCATTCTATATTCCATTACCTAATAAAGCTACAAGTTTCAAACCAAAAACAAAAGTAGTTTTAACCAAGGCAAAACACTGAAGGATCACAACAGTTGCGGAGAACTGCTGGAACCACGTAACATTGCCAATTCTATCGATTCTTGGCGTAGACGTTTAGCATGGGTTGTTGAGGCCCACGAAGGGCATATCGCCCCTTAAATGTGTTCACTTTATTTTTTAAAATTTTTAAATAAAAATATTAGTCGTATTGTTAGAAAACTTATCGTTAACTTTTTCAAAATTGGCTATGTTGAAGGAACTGGGAAATCTTTAATTTTTTCTCAACCAGTCAAAATCTTCATTTCGAATCCTTACCCTATCTATTTATCTTTCGAACAAGCTCGAAATAAAAAGAATGTCGAGTAAAAAAAAAAATCTAGCTGAAATAGCATATCCCAGATTTTGCTGTCAATATAAAAAATTGAAATTCGATATTACAAAAAATACAATAAATATTTCACTTAGTTTTCAACCGATTTTTTCTGTCGAGGTCTTAAAATGTTCGCAACTGATTTTTAAGAATTTATTAAAAAAACTTATACAGGGTGTCACAAAAAAGTTCCAGCGCAATCCAAAACTAGGCAATTTTTGAAGGAGTTCGCCATTTTGGATTTTTTTCAAATTTCAAAAGTTTTACCCTGATTCGTTAATCTGTTCATTTCTCTTTCAAACAAGCCAAAACAAAAGAAAATTGGTCAACAAATAAAAAAGTTACAGGTCAAAAACAAAATTCCGGGTTTTTTTTTGGACCACCCTCCTATATTTTCTTTAAGGTGCCAGACTAGATTAAGAATAACCAATAAAGACTTATTTTATCTAAATAATTGTAATACCATATCGCCAATGAATAATATGCTGTAATAGTGTCTTAGGTGTCTTGGGGAATGTTGATATGTTTAATATTAAGATGAAAGAAATTCGGAGAGTACTTGAGCTTCGAAATAGGGTTTAGAGTGCAATGAAGCATCTGGTTCGATTTTATGTTTTATGTTTTATATTTTATATTTTAGTGTTTCAAATGCTGTCCTATTTAGTTTTAATTTTAGTATTGTTTCCTATTTTATATTGTTTTTAATTATTTTTTTACCTATATCTTTTTCTGTATCCACATTCTTGTTATATACTTTACATGTAATTACTGTTATAGTGTTTGTAAAGTTTTCTGAATAAATAAATAAATAAATAAGCTATTCACTTTCTTGTCCATCTTCTATATTTCTCGTTATCTTCTGCCATTTTGCCCATTTTATAGTTTATATTTAAAATGACAAACTTTTCTTGCTTCATACATTGCTCTTCGTTTCTTGGAAATATAACAATATCTCTATGAATCTCAACTTTATCATCTTTATCTTTGTCTGGAAAGTGCACTCGATAACACTTGACCTCTTCACTATACCCAACTAGAACACCTTTTTCACTCTTCGGATCTAACTTCCTTCTTTGTTCTTTAGGAATATGTGGTACAGCTACACTAGACCCAAAACTTTTTAAGAATTGTAAATTAAATTTCTTTTTGTGCCAAAATTCATATGGAGACCTATCTTTTATAGAGATTTTGCTGACCCTATTGAACAGAAATACTGCTGTATTTATAGCTTCAGCCCAGAACTTTTAGTCCATGCCATTGAAATGTAACATGGTCCCAGCAGCTTCCACTAAAGTTCTGTTTTCTCGTTCGACACGTCCATTTTGCTGTGAGGTATACGTGCATAAGTCCTGTGTTTTTCCATAAATGTTCTTACATTTTTTTCACTTTCTCCTCCGTTAACGCATACTCATGAATGAAAAGCCTAGGTAGATACGACAAATTGAGACACGTCTTGAAAAATTTACCCATCAGGTCCGAGTACTATTTGCACTTCAAATATTTTATAAGGTCTGGCTTCTAACAAAAATTATTGAATTTTATTTGGATTTGTACAAATTACCAATTATACCTTGGCAATATTTTGATTTCAACTCCTTAATCACTATACAATCACTAGTCAACTCAAGTTTAAAGAGCCCAACGCTCAACAACTTACTTTACCCTTCCTACAAAAACCCGACTACTGAAAAGAATTCTTTAGAATTGTCTGGAACGTCTAAAATCTTCTCTTCGCAGGAACAAAGTTTACAAATTAAATTATATTTAATCATTTTTTCAGAATCACTTCTCAAAAAATATCCCTCCAATCAGCTCAATCCAGGAACGAAGTGGACATATTCGCATCCCCCTACGTCGACACAGCATTTTGTAGAGCCATACCAGGCTTAACCAAGTACCAAATTGAGCTTTGCAACCAGCAACCAGATACTATTATGGTGGCCCTTGAAGGACTAAATCAAGCTGTTAGAGAGTGTCAGAGTCAGTTTGACGGCAACAGATGGAACTGTTCATCGCTGAGTACCAGAGGAAAAAATCCATACATAAGTGCCATATTGCAAAAAGGTAAGTGATTTATTCTGATAAAGCAAATTGTCAAAACTGTTGCATTGGTATTTTTATTGCGCGCATTTGTTCTCTCTGTCATCGAAAGTCGTTTTCTCGAACCTGATTGTTGTTACCAAATCGGTAAGCCAATTAATTAACGAAACCTTTGTTAACCTGACACTGGCTTTTAATTGTTCTGCGAGCTGAGGAGAGAATGGGAATTTTTTCTCAACGCGGCTCTGTCAAGGGAAAAGTGACTACTTTATTAGGCATAATATGGCAAGATACGCAAGGTCCTTTTAAAAAGTGCGAACTATCCGAGCCTCGCTTTGCATCGAAAGTGAATATGTAATATTCTCACTTTTTGTTGTGAAAATGATTTTTATTCAACAGAAATCATTGTTACCAGTTGTTTAATTTTGTCATTTGATATGTTATTGTCATCTATGATTGTCATTGCACTAATCAGTTTGTTATGTCAAGTTCTTTGTCTAATAAAGCCAATATTTTGGTATAATTCGGAAGTTCTATTCATTACAATTTATAAGAAAAAAAATTTAAAAGAAAAATCAACGAAGAAATGGAACGTTTCTATCGTCCAGAAAGATTCGAAGTAGCAGTGGCGCACCCAAGGGGGGGTTTTGGGGGTTAACCCCCCCCCCCCGAAATTTAGCACTGGTACAAAGAATTTTCCAGTAAAAATATTTTTTTTTGCGATTCTGGTTAATAGGTACCTACAAAACTTTCCATTTTACATACATGGCATACCTAAAAGGTTTTGCCTCCGATAGCGAGTTGATTTAGGTGAGTTAACAGCGAGGTAAACACATAACTCATACAATCACTTGGTTGGTTGGTTGGTTGAGATACAGAATGAACAGACCGGGTTAGGTAGCCCCAACACTGCAGCCGTCGGTCGGCTTATTGTATTGTCCTGTTCGACTGTTTAGTCAGTGAAAAGTTTCGTGACCTTGTTTAGGTTAAGGAGCCTCTTCACCGTGTTACTTTTAGTGAGTTTAGAGATAGGGTGTTCTGCCCTATCTGTCTGTATCTCCACCAGCGTAAAGCCTCACATTTAAAGATTATGTAGGTGGCGGTTTTATCGTCCTCGTCACAAAGTCTGTATATGGGTTCTTTTTGGAGGATGCCCATTTTGTGAAGGTGTTTTCTCAGGCTACAGTGTCCAGTTATTAGCCTGATTAGATTCCTGTTTAGGAATCTAATCAGCAGTGTGTCAATATCGTGTTAAACAGATTCTGCTCAGGTTTACATCGTGAGTTGTGCGTCGCGCATTTTTCTAACAAACTGTACCTTTAAGGTACGGTTTGTTAGGAGAGTACGCGACGCACAACTGACAACGTAAACGTCGTCATTGGTTCAGGTATAACGTACACCCGTTACCTAGCGTCAGCGTCAGAAAACGGGTGTACGTCATACCTGAACCAATGACGACGTTAACGTTGTCATTTGTGCGTTGCGTACTATCCTAACAAACCGTACCTTTAAGGTACGCTTTGTTAGAAAAATGCGCGACGCACAACTCACGATGTAAACGTCAGCAGAATCTGTTTAACACGATAATGGCCGCGTTCACCAGATACAAACGTTGGTAAACAGTTTGCGATTGTTCTGCTGAACGCTACGTTGAATTTATGTTGAAACCAAACATGTTTTGCAAACGGTCGCCATTTTGGCAAGCATAATTTAAGTGTTTATAATTTTCAACGCTGTGTTTTGTGTGGTGACCTGTCATTCAGAAGGTGACGTTCTATCATTGAAAAGTTGAATCGTTCAGCAGAACCAAGAATTTTCCCAACATATTCTGTTGGTATTTGTAAACTGTTTACAATCCGTTTTGGTTCCGGTGAACGTAGCCATTGACACTCTGCTGACGCTGTACGTCACGCTCACCTGCGCAAACCCAACAAACCGGTCCATATAATTTACACTTGGTGGATTTTAGCAGACGTGCGTGGCGTTCGACAGAATGTGAGTTGAGCGTCGCGCACTGCCCTAACAAAGCTAAAATTGCCTCCACCAGGAGATTATTCTTCATTAAAACGAGTATTGGGAATGTTTTCCATTATGCGAAATGGATTCCAAGATTTTCGGATAAAATCAGATCACTCGTACAAACAAAATCATTTCCTATATCACAAGAAGCTCTATCGACTTTCAAAGCTCTGGAAGAAGATATTTCAAAAGCTGTTGTCACTGCCATTGATGAAAATCTCACATTCACAGTAGAAACAGACGCATCAGACTATGCCATTGGAAATTGCTTATCACAAAATGGAGCTCCTATAGCATTTTTCTCAAGGACACTGTCGAAAAGCGAGAAACGTCATTCGTCAGTCAAAATGGAAGTCTATGCTATAGTTGAATCGTTTCGGAAATGGAGATATTATTTAATCGGACGACCTTTTCGACTAATAACAGATCAACGTTCTGTTTTTTTTATGTTTGATGATAAGCATGCAGGAAAAATAAAAAATGATAAAATACAACGATGGCGGTTGGAATTGGCCTGTTACAAATATGACATTGTATATGTAGGTATAGACCAGGAAGAGAAAACATAGTGGCTGGTGCTTTATCAAGGGTTTGTGCCGTTATAAATAGTAAAGAATAACAACAGAAACTGTTAAATCTGCACTACAGTCTATGTCATCCAGGTGTCACGAGAATGATTCATTAGGTTCGTGGCAAAAATATACCGTATTCAGTTGAGGATATTAGGAAAATGATTTCCAACTGTTCAGTCTGTTTACAAGTAAAGCCTCGATTTTTCAAAAATAAAGGAACATTAATAAAAGCAGCAGATCCATTTAAGAGATTATCCATAGATTTTAAAGGACCATTACCAAGTTTGACAAACAATAAATTTATACTCACTATAATCGATGAATATCCCGATGATGAAACAACTGGTAAAAATGTTGAATACAAATCATTTTCACAACATTCTTCCCTTCTTATTTTAATGAATGTAGTCTTTCAGGTAGGGCGGTAATCGACGATCTCTATTCGGATGTGTCTCTATATTGTATGCTGTTGAAGGAGAAGCTTGAGAGTTGCTCTCGAAATTGCTATATGAGCGAGTCAGTAGCGGCTGATTCAATTCTATATCATTTTGATTTGATTGAAGATGATTTGCTATTGACTGGACTGGTTTAGGTATATTTAACTGAGTTTGAATGATTTCCTCATTTTCATCCGATACTTATTGTTCTCGACTATTCGGTGATAAATGCTTGTTTGGAACAGATATTTCTTTCCCATCTTTCAGTCTAACAAACGAATAATGCGGATTTGATTCTATCAGCTCAACTCCCCCAACTTGTGCAAATATGCTTCTTCATAAAAGAAACAGAGCGCTGATCTGTTATTAGTCGAAAAGGTCGCCCGATTGAATAATGTTTCCATTACCGAAACGATTCAACTATAGCATAGGCTTCCTTTTCGACTGACCGAAGGACGTTCCTCGCTTTCCGACAGTGTCCTTGAGAAAAATGCTATAGGAGCTCCATTTTGTGATAAGCAACTTCCAATGGCATAGTATGATGCGTCTGTTTCTACTGTGAATGTGAGATTTTCATCAATGGCAGTGACAACAGCTTTTGAAATATCTTCTTCCAGAGCTTTGAAAGTCGATAGAGCTTCTTGTGACATAGGAAATGATTTTGTTTGTACGAGTGGTCTGATTTTATCCGAAAATCTTGGAATCCATTTCGCATAATGGGAAAACATTCCCAATACTCGTTTTAATTAAGAATAATCTCCTGGTGGAGGCAATTCTAAGAATGGACGAAGTCGATCAGGATAAGGTTTGATTTGTTGATTTTTTTTATAATTTTTGTCTAATAAATTGTGATGAATAGAACTTCCGAATTATACCAAAATATTGGCTTTATTAGACAAAAAACTTGACATAACAAACTGAATAGATCTCAATTGAATAATGCAATGACAATCATAGATGACGATAACATATCAGGTTAGCTGGTTAGCCTAATCAGCATACTGCTGGTTCGATAAAGAGGAAGTATACTCTAGATGAATGGTACCTATTAATTTCCATTATATTTTTACTGAACCAGACCGCGAATTTTTCAAAATTCCGTTGTAGCAAAAGAAGATCAATAATGGTGAGCATCGATTTGTAAATTTGAATATGGTCCGAATACAATTGTGCAGACCTAAAATAGGAAAGGACGAAATTAACGAAAATGTTAAACGATCTAATAGAGAGTTATTGGACGTGCAGTAAGGACATGCACCATTTAAATTAGCCTTATTTTGACATCTACGCATGCGCATTTGGGTCTGAAAATAAGGATTACCTTAATAAGGTTACCGCTTGTCTTTATGGTTAGTGCAAGGCAGTAAACTTCCCTTATTTCAGTATTTCTGACATTTTTGACGACTTTGACGTTTCGCTTTTCGACGATGACGTAATTTTACTTGGAGAATTTGTTTATTACAATAGTTTTTCATTTTACTGTGGGTTACATCAAAAATGGGTATCAGCTATCAGCAGAAAAATAAAATAAAAATAAACACTTTATGAGGTGGAAATTTATAAAAATAGCTATCAGCTGTCAAAATTATGGATACAAAATAAGGTAATATTCTAACACCTATTACAGCCTTCCAATAACTGTTATTTTCTTGGCGAAATAGTGCTGATGCATTAATAAAATAACGTAGATCCTTAATACTGCGAGGCAGTATTTAATAGTTCCAATAACTCTCTAATAGCTGTGCACTTCAAGGTATGGGTAAAGTTTACCTATTGTTCGTCGATTTTTAACTGACAATTTCCGTATGAGGAGCGAGGGGGTGCTTCATATGGCAAAAACAGGTGTGACGTCAGGTAACCATTGTTGTTCTAATGTAAGGAGCCACCAGCTCACATTTCGTCCGAGTATCAGATTGAAATCGACGGACAATAAGTGAGTAACGTTCTTCTGAGCCTCAAACGACAAACGTGTAATGACTATAAGCAAGAAAATTCA